ACATACTACAGTAGACAAGGGCACACAATCATTTTGATTTGCTTATTATTAGCTCAGCTACTGAGAGGAAAAAATAATCTGATGTGCCAAATACACTATGAAGTATTTTATGATAACAAAATCCACAGTATACATTATTGCTAATAAGTCTAGTTTTCTAAAATTACATGCTCCCACTGAGAAGATTGGGTTTTGCTGCTTTCCAAGAGTAAATAAATATTAAAATTTCAGGACTTGTCTAAGGAACATTTATCTCGTATTCAGTTCTTTTCAGTTGCATAAGAAACCTTCATTTTTGGCTCCAAATTCCATTTATTGGCATAATTTGGATGTGGCAGCCAGCTATTGCCTTGATTAGCTTGCCATCGATAAAAAAATCACTTATAAAGTGACTGAGAGCTGTCATAATTCTGTACAGCGTGATTCTTTTTACTAACTGTTTTCAACAGGTGATAAGTGAGAATTCTTTTATTACCTTAGTAAGAAAAAAACTCAATTTGGGGGAGTGAGACTTTATGAATAGAGTTTTGAAATGAAAAAAAATGAAGTATTTGCTAATGAATTTTGATTTTCCCACTGAAATAAATGGTTTCACTTCTGCATCATGTGTATGGCAGGAAATACAACAACCGTATGCTTCTCAGACAGATAATTATTTTAATTCAAAAAGCAAAGTCAAGTGAAAAAGCATTTATTAAACATCTATTATGTCCTAAGCCGTATGTTAAACATTGGTATTGCAAAGTTGGTTAGTCAATAAGCCTTTATTAAGTGACTACAAGGTGCTAAGAAGTGGGGGTAAAAAATAAAAAAAAATGAGACAAAAGAAGTCTTACTTTCCAGGAATTTAAAATCTAATGGAGGGGACAATATGTAAACAACTCTTTACAAACAAGATATATACAGAATAAATTAGAAATAATCTCAGAGGGAAGATGCCAGTATTATGAGGAATTAGAAGACGTTCTTTGCAGTAGATGAGGCTTGAAGGAAGCCAGAAGGGAGATGAGGGAGGATATTCCAGGCTTTAGGGACAGCCAGTAAAAATGGATAGTTAACAGACACAATATCTTGTATGAGGAACAGCAAGGAGGCATTTGTTCAACACCTGCTACATTCAAAGCCTTTGGCTTGACACTGAAGGTTCAAATACTATTTTGAAAGCAAAATGTTTCTGAGACAAGAAGTTATATTCTGTCAGTGGTTGGGAGAAAACAACATGTACACAGAGTAGTAAATGGAAAATATATCCAAAGTGAATCCAAAATAATTGTCATGGGATGAAAAGCACTAGCTCTAAGAAACCTCATGGAGGTAATCGTTGTAGCTGAGCTGAGCCTTGGAATGAGTTAAGCATTTCAAAAGGCAGAGTAGGGAGAAAGGGCATTCTAGGCATGCAAAGAAAGACCAGCACAAAGGCACAGAGATAGCAGATTGAAACTGCAGTGTGAGCAACAGGTCATGGAAATGGTGTTCCTGACTTTTTGTTCTTCCCAATGATTTTTTAAAAATTTTTTTTCTAATTCAATCTTATACACACACACACACACACACACACACACTCACACATATGTATGTATGTATGTATACTTGTAAAAAGGAATAATAAGTTGTACATAGTGAATTTGTGGTTTCATGTGTAATCTTTGTTTTTATTTTACTATGTTTTGGAAATGCTTCTCTTATTCCATAATTCATATATTATATATACATATATATATATATATATATATATATATATATATATATATATATATATATATATATATATACACACAATAATATTATTATATACATATATGTATATATACATATATACACACACATATATGTATATATGTATGCATATATGTATATATACATATACACATATATATGTATGCATATATGTATGTACATGTATGTATATGTATATATGTATGCATATGTATATGTATATGTGTACATATGTCTATATGTATGTGTATGTGTGTGTATATATATATATATATATATATATATACTTTTTAAAAGATCATGAAAATGAAGAATAATAAAATGTAAAGATAGTATAGAACTAAGTGGCAGAAGTCTTTGAATGGCAGGCAGAGGAATTTGGATTAGATCAGAAAGATAAAAGTGAACTGTTAAAGTTTATTGAATAGGGATCAGACCTGTGCTCTATGAAACAACAATTTTGCAGCTAAGTGGATGGATTGCTGAGGGTAGAGACTGGAGTCAGGAAGGTCAATTTGGAGACTGTTGTAATAGGAGAAAGACCATGTGTGACTACAAGAGGAAAGGGGAAAAAAAAGAAACTTTCCTCATTTTCCCTTCTTGTTTGCCTTTGAAATTTGATTTCTACTTGGAATAACACTGGACAACCATTCATTACTTTTGTGTGAGCTGACTAAGGGCATGAAGAATTCGTGGCAGCAGCTGCTTCCCTTTTAGTAAGAGAAGAAATAAACTCAATGTATGTTTCAAGCTGGCACAAATTAAAATTAATGAAAGTTGTGTGAAATGTTCTGAGATGACAACATTCTATAAAAGAATTATTTAAACATTTGTGGGCATTTATCTGTGCCCTACATAATGCATCTTCATCAGAAGTTGGGCAAGAGAAAGAAGAAGTTAGAAAACTCTCATTCAACTATGCTTATTTTGCATCTCACACTGACCATATTACCATATGTAGTATTTGGAACACTTTCCAGGATGATTTGGAACAAAGGGAAAATGTCTTTCTGAAGAAGTTATTTTTACAACATATAGGAACAAAAGGAGAAAGCTCTTCTCTAAAAGCAGAGTAATTTGCTCTACTGTCTGGCAGGTAGTGATGTTTGGGTCCTATTCTTAGTCATGTTTTTATTATACAATAATCGTAGAGTGCTTCACTGTGTTGAACACCATTTATAATATTTTAATCAAGTGCTGGCTTCTGCGCTTATGATCAAAATGGAATTAGTTTCAGTTGAAACTCCAATTCATTCTTTGAATAAATGCATAATGGTCACATCAGATATGAAAAATTCAAAAGTAGTTTTAGGTCCTCCCAGGACTGCTAGAAAGTGACCTAATTCTACATCATCTGAGTAATTAAAGCTTGTCCAACATAGAATGGTCTGTCGCAGAAAGTAATAGGTTTACCATGACTGAAGATGTCCAGTAGAAACTGGGTGGTTGGGCATCTTGGCTATTGTAATGGGGTTCTAGTTCAAGCAAACTTTGATTCAATCAAGCAATCAACAATAACTTATTATGTGCAGGATGTATGGCACACAATGTGATAGGCTTTCAGATCCTAAGGACAAGAATTGCCATCTAGAAATGTATATTCTAATTGAGGAGACAATATGCACATACATTTAGGTATACACATGCACATATACTACATGCTTATGTGTACACATAGATGTGCAAAGGCATGTGAATTTGTATGTTTACATTTATATACAGGCACATATGTGTACACACATATACATATATGTGGGGTGGGGTTATGGGTGGGGTGGGTATATAGAGTGTGGGGGGGTGAGGATGTGGATGTGAATGCGGGTGTGTGTACATATCTGTAATTATATACGAATGTGTATATATCCATATCTATCTATATTTGTTGTTCAATGTTTTCCATTGTGTCCAACTCTTCATTACTCTTTTTGTGGTTTTCTTGGGTAAGATACTGAAGTGGTTTTCCATTTCCTTCTCCAGCTCATTTTACAGATGAAGAAACTGAGGCAAACAGGGATAAGTTTTACTTACCCAGGGTCACATTGCTAGTACGTTTCTGAGGCCACATTTGAACTCAGAAATATGTCTGCCTGATGTCAGGCCCAGCACTCTATACAATGCTTCATAGCTTCTGTGTGTGGTGTGTGTGTGTGTGTGTGTGTGTGTGTATGTGTGTAAGGGGATGTGCAAATGCATGCACACACACAAGGATATATGCATACACATCCATGCATATGTATATACAGTCACAAGCATATGTCATGCAGATATGCACGTTATGTGCAATATAAATATACATATACATAGCATATACACATTCATATACACATACAAGTACACATACGTAGACGTAGACATAGACACATACATATACACAATGGTAAACTTGGAAGTAAATCAATACAGCAGCATAGAGAACCATGATTGACCTCTTGAAGTGAGTTATGTTTTAACTGAGTTTTGAAGGAAGCCAGGGATACAAAGAGGTGGGTCAGAGAAGGCAGCCCATTCTAGGCCTTAGGGACAGTAAGTACAAAAATGGGGAGGAAGAACATGGAGAGCTTTGTTTGAGAAACAGCTTGTGGGCCAGTATGGAGGGAGAGCAGAAGAAATGGAGAGCACTAATGGATAAGGAGACTGAACTTGCTTCTCCTCACACCCCTGTGAATTAGGCACCATTATCATTCCTACTTCACAGAAGAGGCACTGAAACCCGGAAAGGTTCCATGACTGGCTAGTTAGTAAACATTGGAGATGTTTTTCATTCAGGTTTTCCTGACTTCTTGTTCAACTTTGTATTCCATGCATGTGTGTTTATATAGAGTATGTGTTAACACATAACCACACATGTGTACATGTATACATATACGGATACACGTGTATGTATATGTGTGTATATACACACGTATATACAGAGAGCATGTGTGTGCAAATGTGGGGTGTACACAAACAGAGAGAGAGAGAGAGAGGAAGAGAGACAGACAGAGACAGAGAGAGAGATCTTCCAAGTAGTGCATATCAGTTGGGTTGTTTAAAGAGGATATGAAAGCAGAACTGAAATATTTTCGTATTCTTAAAGTAAACTGTGGAACAAATTCATTGTGCTAGCTCTGCATCTAATCTATAGTTGTAAAATCTTTCAGGAGCTCCCTATTTCTACCAAATAAAGTACAAATACTTTTATTAATATTTATAACTCAGGCTGAAATTGCTTTGACCTACCTTTTCAGGATCATCCTCTGTCAGTTACTTATCTCTATGTTCTATTTACCATCCTACATTTTTAGGTAAACTGCACCTATGCAACATTCCCCGTTCTTGACCGGCCCTTTCTCATCTCTGCATCATTGTTCATATGGTTCTTCATGCCTAGAATGGACTCCTACAATCTTCCTACATTACCTTCTGTTGAAAACACACGTCTTTCAAGACTGAGGTCAGAAACCATCTTCTCTGTGAAGCCTTCTAGGAGCCCTTCATATAAAAAACTCATAATCTTTTTTTTTTATTATTATTAGTTTTTGAATGTCACTTTGAACAAATCTGGGACAGCTAGGTGGTAGAATTGATACAGTGAAGTCAGGAAGACATGAATTTAAATCAGGCCTCAGACCTTTACTAACTGTGTGACCCTGGGCAAATCACTTCACCCTGTTTGCCTCAGTTTCCTCATATGTAAAATGAATTGGAGAAGGAAATGGCAAGCTAGTCCAACATCTTCACCAAGAAAACCCCAAATGGGCTTAGAAGAGTTGGAGATGACTGAAAATGACTGAACAACAAGAAAGCATTTGTCAAATCAGTCCCATTAATTTGCATTTCGTCCCCTTTTCATCATAGTTATTGGTGCAGATTTCTTCCTTTTGGTTGCAAGTTACTTGAGAATAGGTTTTCTGTGGTTTTTAAAATCTACCTTAGAATCCCCAGCAAATTGACTCACGCATTATAGACAATTGATGTTTATGCAAAGAGATGAAATATAGTTGACAAAAGGTACAATGTGTAGCCTTTATCTTTGCTGTCTCTTTTTCTCCTCTAAATATATATTTATAAATGAATGAATGAAGCCCTGTAATAAGCACTAGGGACCTTAAAGAGCTTCATCACAAATAGCATTTATTAAGTGGTTATTATGCGGCAGGCATGGAGCTTAATGTTGTTTACAAAAATGAGTACTTAGAATCATCGGATCAGAATGGGCAAGAGAGGCCTCAAAGGACAACCAGGACAAACTATGTTTAACTTAGAAGCTCTTCCACAGCATTTAAATTTCTCTACTTCCCATACTCTTTCACTTTCCAGAACTAGTGCCTTCAGAATTACAGAGACTTTCCATAGTTCCCAAGTAGGTTTTACTACCTGGCCAGCAGCCTATGCTCCAAATGAGGGGTGGGGAACTTGTGGCCTCGAGGTCACATGTGGCCTTCTAGGTCCTTGTGTGCAGCCTTCTGACTGAGTCCAAGTTTTATAGAACAAATTCTTTCATTAAGGGGATTTGTTCTATGAAGTTTGGATTCAGTCAAAGGGCTGCACTTCAGGACCTAGAGGGCCACATGTGGCCTGGAGGCTACAGGTTCCCCACCCTGCAACCCTTTCCAAATCTCTCCCCACATCATCCCTTACCTGTCCTATGTCTCATTCTTTCTGAGCTTTGCCAAGTAATCTTATCAAATTGTTTGAACTTGGCTAGCAATAGTTTGCAATGCTCTAATACATAAAATATGTATTTTAATACCATCTTTTAGTACCTTGAAGCAAAGAAGTAAATAATGTGGGAGTTTTAGGCATAGTACCAGGACTGGTGAATGAAAACGTTCTGGGCTGGTGGGTGGGGGTAGACTTTTGGCACCTCTGAAGACCCTCACATATGTAGCTGCCTACTCTGCTTTGTGGTAAGCAAGACTCAGTTTTATGTTCAAATAAGTCTCAAGTCAACTTTTAAAACTGCTAGTCTGATAAAGGCCTTTGTTTAGGCCATTTCATTTCCCCCTGTGAATTATGACAGAGTAAAGCAAAAGTATTCTATTTCAAATAATTTTTAAGCAGTAAATATATAATAGCACTGACATGATGAGATATACTTCACCAGGCCACTCACATCATCTGATAAAAACTTGCCAGGTTCACGGTTTAGTGTAATCATATATTACAATATGAGTTTTAAGATTTTGCTGAAAATCTTTAGAATAGAATTGTATAAGAAGTCATGTCATTCCTTTATAGTGTGCTTTCCATCTCTACCCATGGCCCTCAATTTTTGCTATTGCCTTGATCAAATTGTTTCTGACCTCAATAAGGTTGAGTTAGATCAGAAATGACTCCTTTCCAACTATCATGACCTCAGCCTATATTCCTTCCTTAGTCTTCAATCTATTTGAATATTTTAAACCTGACTTTTTTTTTTTACTTTATACCATTCAGCTTCATTTTTTTTCTCAATTGCTTATGATGGGAGAATGTTCTTTTTCTGTGTTTATTTCCCCTTGTGTGATTGAGGGCTTTACCTGGACAAATTATCACTTTGTTCAATGTATTTCTTAATTTTTTTTTGACAAAAAATAAGTCATGGGTGTGGTACTATTTTTTTTAAAAAAAAAGTTCTTCAGATTTATTTTAATCTAGCATTGTTTTTCCCTCAGTCAATCTGGAAAATAATTATTTAGACTTGTGCTTCCGTTATATCCTGCAAAATCAAGGCATCATAACCGAAACATCTCGTTTTGTTGAATGCATGAAAAATATTTGTTGTGTTAAGTGCTAAAAATAATTTTCAAAAATGAGAGTCTCTAATATCGATGAACCCACACTTAAATTGGGGGGATAATATTTAAATAAGATTATAATAGCAGAGTAGATGGACAGACAACAAATTCTGAAAGATGTCATAGTAGTTGGTGGCTAGGCAGCTAGGTGGTGCAGTGGACAGAGTGCTGGGAGTGGAGTCGGGATGACTCATCTTCCTTAGTTCAAATCTGGCTCCAGATATTTACTAGCTGTGTAACCCCAGCCAAGTCACTTAACTCTGTTTGCCTCAGTTTCCTCTTTTGTGAAATGAGCTGGAGAAGGAAATGGCAAATCACTCCATTATCTTTGTCAAGAAAACTGCAAATGGCGTCATGAAGAGTCAGACGCAATTGAAACAATTCAACAGCGTCAAGGTCCAGGGGCCCTAGTACGCATTAGCAATTTGATGACAGTGTCTTGGGTGGAGTGGATGGGTAAACCGTATCTCACAAAGAACCTTCATAGGTAGGGACAGCGTCGCTGATCATTTCTTGGTGCTTTCTTGAAATATTGAAAGGATTCTAGCTGGCGATTCACGGCTATTCCAATGTTCTGCTTCCCTGGCTACCCTAGTGAGGTCTGACTGGCCTAGGGATTGAGGGAGACATGAATGACAGCTCAGCGAACCCTGTGAGGTCGGTGTGCCAAAAATGTCTGTAACTTGTTCTTAACATTGGTATCCCCCATCACAGAGCTTCTTTTAGACTCACCTAGAATTGGTGATGTATAAGTAATTAAAGTCGAGCATATAACCATTTTCCCCCAGAGTGTGTATATATATATATATGTATATATATATATATATATATATACATATATATATATATACACACACACACACACACACACACATATACACACACACGCACACACACACACACACATATATACACACACACACACACACATATATATATGTGTGTGTGTATGTGCAGGTATGTGATATATATGTATTTGTATATATATATATGTATATATGTGTATATGTATATATACATATATATGTGTGCATATATATGTGTATATATATGTATATATGTGTGTATATATATGTGTGTGTGTGTGTGTGTGTGTGTATCCTTTTCTGCATGGTAAAGTTGATTACATTTACACCTATCTTTTCTCATCCCTTTCATTCAAATGTCAATTCCAGGGACAACACTTATTCCATTTTGAAAAGCAGGGGGAGTTTTGTAGTTTTTTTTAATATATAATGTGATGTCATCTGGTCCTAGATATAGATTACACTCTCCTTTAAATCTGTCTTCCACCTCACTTAAACCAAGGTTCTAATAATGTTATTTGTTTTGTAATTCTACTATGCCGATAAAATGCAACGATATGCATTTCAGTTTGGTTTAGTGGAAAGAACCATGAGTGCTATACTGCTTGGCACATATTGTGGAATATATGGTAAATTTAAACTGAGAAAAAGAAAGTGGGATTTTGAATTTTCTGCATCTATCAGTCCTTTGTATGACTGTAATACAGTAGTCTGCTCTAGAATACTATTTGTCAAAGCCTACCTCTTATCTTCCTGTTCTTTCATTAAGGATGCCCTTGACATATGTATAAGTTATTTTCATAGAGATTCCATAGAGCAGGAAAAGTAGGTATATGGGCCAGATGTTTTTGATATTTTCTTTTTCATGGTGCTATTAAAATATGTGTCTTTTTGTTATTGATTTGAATCTTCAGTGAACTACTTACTAGCTTGGACTCTTGTTCACATCACTTATTCTCCTTAGCCTTGGTTTCCTAATCTGTAAGATCTGTGAAGTTAAATACAGCTGGAAGAGACCTCAGAGGCAGTGGAATGCTCTTAATTTACAGATGAAGAAACTGAGGCTTAAAGAGATAAAAGAATTTGCTCATATGAGTTGAACTAAGGTCTTCTTGACTGAGGCCAGATCTCTGTTTTACTTCATACATTGTAGAAGCTTAATATTTTTTTTTTCCTGGGAATTATAATATCTAGGTGCAATTCCCAAATAGAACAACAGAATTTTGGACACATCATTTCATCACTCTGGGTCCCTCAATTCCTCCACGTGAAATGAGAGGATTGGATCCTATGGCCTCTGAGTTTCTTTCTATCTCTGGCATGCCAGGATAAGGAGGTTATGAATAGCAGCATCTCATAAAACACTGAGAAGAAAAGGAAGAGAGACAAATTTAAAAACACTCTGCATAACATCTAATTAAACCTAATTATCACAATCGAATTTAAGAATGAAATTGAAAGGACAAAAATTATGAAAAATGGAAAAGATCATCTATATATTTGTAACAAAAAAAATGCTTTCAAAGACAGAAGTGATATCACATTTGGACTAACATCACAAGCTTCTTTAGATTCATAAAGGGAGAAAAGAAGTATATAAACATTTATTCATTGCCTACTATGTGTTAGGCACTGGGCTAATCATTTTACAAATATCTCATTTGACCCTCAAAACAACCTGGGGAGGTAGCTTCTGTTCTTACTTCCATTTTAGAGTTGAGAAAGCTGAGACAAACAGAGGTTAAATGAATTGCCCAGGGCCACATGGTCAGTAAGTGTTCAAAGGTAAGTTTGAACTCAGGGCTTCATGGCTCTAGTTAGATGTCTTTAGTATTTCTAGTTATGAGGAGGTAGAACTATGT